GCCCCTAACGACCGGCTCGCGCTCTAGGCGAAGGCCTAGTTCGCCTAGCGGGCGAGCCGGCCATGGCTCCATCCTTTATATGACATCCTTTCAAATACTTGAAGATGGCTAGCATATCACCCCTCAATTGTCTCCTCTCCAGGCTAAACATACCCAGCTTCAACCTTGGTCTCTAGACTCCTCACCTTATTTTTTGCCCTCCTCTGGACATGTTCCAGATTTTCAACAACCTTCTTAAACTGGGGTGCCCAAAACTGAATACAGTAGTCCAAGTGAGGTCTAATTAGATCCAGAAACTATACTTTGGGAGGGCCTGTGGCTCAGTGGTAGAGCATCTGCTTGACATGCAGAAGGTCCCAGGTTCAATCCAGCATCTCCAGTTAAAAGGACCAGGAAGTAGGTGATCTGAAAGACCTCTGCTTGAGACTCTGGAGAGCCACTGCCAGTCTGAGTACACAGACTTTCTGACTTTCTGGTGATTTGCTCTAAAATCTTTCCAGGTATGGACATCAAGCTGACAGGTCAGTAGTTACCTGGATCCTCCTTTTTGAAGATGGGGACAACATTTGCCTGCCTCCAGTGACTCTGGGAATCCTGTTCTTCTATGAACGTGTCCTGGGGAAATCCCAGGGCAGCTGTGCAGATGTTTGCCAACCCACATAGCAAAAGATGTACAACTAATGCCTCCCCAGATAAGACAGTTAGCTAATCTGATTAAAATTACTTTATCCCCTTTTTAAAGTTCCAACAGATGTTTTGGTTGTGCCTCTTATTTTAGGTTTGGGGGGGGGACAGTAACTCTGGCTCAGTTTCCTCTTTCCGGTTTGCTTAAAAAATGAAGAAAGGGAGGCTCTGATCCAGAGACATGGGGGAGGTTATGACAGCCTACCTGCCCTCTACTTGTCCTCTCAGGAGAGATTGGTAAAGATTCAGGCTGGGGGATTTGTTGCTCGCCTTTAGACCCATGAAGTGACTCAGGGGTGTAGTTAAAGAGACTCAGAGGCCTAGGCTGCATCCAGATGGCAGCTTCATATATTGGTGGTTGCATGATGTAAAACTAAGCTGGCATTAAAGCCAACTATCCTGCCAAAAATAAGTAGGACACTGCCCTTGAACTAGCTGTCATTATTCCCATGGAACTTGGTTAGTGATTAGATTTGAGCCAAAACCTCTCAGGACATCTTTTGGCTTGAAAAAGAGATTCGTTTGGGAGGCAGGAGAGAAACCCTGCCCCACATACTTTTTTCCTTTTATCACTGCTTTTTTTGTGGTTCTAGCAACAGCAGCAGCCACATCACCTGCTATAGGTGCAAAGCTATAGATCTGTGTTTTGAAAGCTATGTATGATGTTGGCTATTTGTATTTTTAATGCTATTTTTTTTAATTTGCCTTTGGAAATGCTGGCTTCTGTTTTTAGTTAGTTGTTTACCTGTCATTTAAAAACCCATATTTTATATTGTTTGTTGTGGATTTATATTACAATTGAATACTGATACAACTTTTTAATCTGTTGTAACCTACCCACAGAGTCTCTGTGTTCAGATATATAGAGAGTTGCTAACCACAGCTTGGAAAGTACCTGGAGATTTGAGGGCAGAGTTTGAAGAGGGGAGGGAGCTCAGTAGCGGTGACATGCAAGAGAGTTCACCCTCCAGTCCTGCCGTTTCCTCCAGGAGAACTAATCCTGGTAGTCTGGAGCACAGTTGTAATTCCAGGAGACCTCCAGGCCCCTCATGGAGGCTAGCAGCCCTAGATATGTATCATAAATGAAATAATTACAGGGCCCTTTTCCTCCTTTACTCTTTTACATACAAGATACCAGAGAATGGGTAGGAAGCCAAATCAGAGTGAGGGTAATTCCTCTCAGAGTCTGGTAAATGATGGGTTAAAAACAGAGTGGAGGACACCCTGCAGCAGATTTGCAGAAGAATCCCCTGAAAAAATCACCCAAAGGAGGCTCTCACTTCATCTCTGGCCTAACTTTAGCACTCACATTGCTACTTGGACTAGCAAGGAGCAACTCAATAGTTCAGGCCCTGTGAGGGTTGTAGAACTGGAATGGGTGTGTGTGCGTTTGTGTGTGTGTGATGTGTGCATACTATGATATCATCGGGTGTCCTTTTTTAGTTTTTGTCAAGAAAAAAACCTTGGATCTGTTAATCTGAGTGATTCGTGAGTGAATCCTTCTTTCAGAAAGATTTGGCAGCATAGCGTTAAGTGCCACCACATCACACACATTATATAGACACCGACATCATTAATTATTGTATGGCATTGTGTGTAGAATAGCCAGGAGATCCTAAGATTGTCTGGCAGTCAGAAGTTCTAGTTCTTTTAGCATTATGCACCACTAGGTGGCAAGCTAGATTTGTTTTTAAGGCACAAGATGTTTCAGATGTGGTTTTGCCATTGTCTGCCTCTGTGCTATGACCCTGGTATTCCTTGGAGGTCACCCTGCCAAATACTAGCCAAGGCCAGCCCTGCTTGGCTTTCAAAATCTGACGGGATTGGGTTAAACTTTTAAGTGTGCACCTAAAAAACAATCTGTGAACTGGCTTTGGGTAAAGCCTTGACACTTCATTTTTAGCTCATTCCTGAAAATAACATGAAAGGTGTTTTGTTTTTCCTGTTTTCAAAAGATACAGATGACAAAGTTATCCAGAGTATCATCTCTAAGAGATTATTAGTTTGTTATCCTTCCCCTGCTTCGCCCATCACAGTGTAGCTGTACTGCTGGCAAAGTTAATTTCTGAACTAGTGCAATGCAATACAAAACTATGTACGGGTGGATGAAAAGGGGGGGGGGAGAAGAAGAAAGGAGAAAAGAGAGAAACAGGTTCTGACATCTAATCAGATCTGCCGTATTGATTTTTTTGTAACTTTAGCTTTGGAACAAATCAGCAAAGCAACCAAATTATCACCCAGAATTCACTTTCCCCAAAGAGAACCAGTTCAAAAGCAAGTCATAGGCGTGCACATATACAAACATATACCTAAACACACACTCATGATCAGTCTGGGTTCTCAGTTGGAAAGTACAAGCGAAGGAAAAAATTGCGCTCTCATCAGAGAGCCTTCAACAACCACACGATTCCCATTTCCAACAAGATTAGAATTCTAGAGCAAGTCACAAAGCTAATGAGCTTCTCGAGCTGGAGAGCGGCAGCTCAGTTAATGAGAGCACATGCGCGCGCACACCCTTCTACAGTGCCTGGCACCCTGCAGGAGCAAGAGAAGGAGAAACAAAGGGTCGCTGGTTTAGGAAGGAGGGTAACCCCGGGGGGGGGGCTGTTGCACTCCCCACACAATGAGGCTCACGTAAGGTATGGGAAAGATTTATAGACTGACTGTCCTAAAGGAAGAACTGTCCAGCCTCCTGGCTGAAACAGCGCAGGGGTGCTGTCTCAATACATCTTCAAAGCACCACTCAGACATCCCTGGAAAGGTTCCGAGAAACATTTCAACACGGGTGTGGTGAGCTGAAGTTTAGAGATGCATCAGAGATGTCACGTTGCATAACCCATCCACTTCTGATCAAGTCAGCTAACTTCACCACAAGGAATTTAGAAATGGTCCTCTGAATCATCCCTAACAGCTTTGTTTCTGTGGTTCCTGCAAATCATGGTTTAGAAATCAGAAGCCAGTTTGGGGCATGCACACTCCCTCCTCCTCCTTCCTGCCTTGCCTAGAACAACTTCTTTCCCTTCCATAACATTAAGCGTGGTTTATGTCACACATGCACCAATATAAATCACCCTAATGCCAAAATTCCCTCATAAGAATGTTCTACAAACCCATTTCAATTTCTAGTATACATCAGAGTTTGCATCCGTGTGCATGATGTAGGGCGGGGAAAGAGATGGGCGACCTGAAGGCTGTGTCCTATTTTGAAAGCCATGGCTTGCAGGAAAATAGTATTATATTTACCCAGGCTGGTGTTGCATTTGGTGCATATTTTCTCTGTTGATCCAGAAAATATTGTGGGGTAATGTGAAGGGGGGAGGGATATGCCACTTTGCATTCTATTACAGTAGAAGCCTAGCATTTGAAAATGGACCCCTAGTTATTTGCTTGGTAATATTACTGCTGTGGGTATTTAAACAGTAAAATTGAAGGCATCTGTTTTGTTACATCCAGGTTTTCAGATGAGGTTTCGGTCTTCCTGCAGTGGGAAAGGGGGAGGATTTGGAAAGAGCGTCTGGGTTGTAATAAGTGCAGCTACATGTGTTATAAGCACGCTGTTCGGTGACAGCCTAGGGATGGTGCCTGGTGGTGTAAATTAACATTCTCCCTCTTAATCCCACACCTGCCATCTTCATGTTCCCAATGCTACCTGCATTCCACAGGAAATTGGTCCTGAAATATTTTCCTGATGGGATGCTACCTTTGCAAAGAGAGTTATCGCCACACAACTTCGATTCACCACTCCCATTAATAACAAGCAATGACTTCATCCCAAACCTAGAGAGTAAAAGAGCCAAATTGCTTTCATCCTGTCTCAGATATTAAAAAAAAAAACCTGCCTGGACCAGCATTTGATCACCTGAAAGCAGAGCATTATTCACATGTTATCAAAAAAGCTGTGACACTGTGAGCGCGCGGGAAGGATCCATCCTTAAAAGGCATACAGAGATGCATGTGCGTGTGCGTGCACACACGCACAGACTGCTCTGCTGTTCTCTAGAGTTGTGACTGATCCAAGTCAGATGTAAGCTGGGTCTGGATCAACCATAACACATCATAGTTGGATTCACATTGCCTTCTGGCTGACCCAAAAATAACTTGTGTCAGTCAAGGTCATAAGGAATTGCATGTTTATGGAACACAGAGTAAATAGCTTCTCTCAATGATGGGCAGATGGGCCATAAACTGGATATGACCAGAGCCTTCCAGAATTGCTATGGGCCATACACTAGGATGCCACTTGGATTCTCTTTCTAGGGGAACATATGAATGATATGCTTTGCTGCCTCTACAGTAAGCCAGACACTAAAACTAAGTCTTAAGTACACTAATTTAACTGCAAAACAGTTCTGAGATTTAAACATCCATGTTTTTATAGAAGTAAACAGAAGAAATGCTTTATCGTGTTCACAGAAATAAGAGGATGAGGTGAGCAGGGGTGAGAAAGGTCCAATAACCAGAGATAGCCCAACTGCATAATAGGCCCTGTGCTTCCTCTATCTGATGCAGAAACTTCACCTGGCTAGCGAAGCCCTTTCATGGGTATGTGAAAGTTCTGAAAGCAAAACAAAAGGGCAAGTCCATGTCAATAAGTAACACACACACACACCAGTTGAAGGGGTGATTCTGGTCCTTATTCATCAGGTTTTGAATTGGTCTGGTTCCCAGTGTTAGAATCTGCATCTGATAATGTTATGTTGACTTCCTGCTTAATTTAAGAATATATTTTAAATGTTTGGTTTCTTGTACTGACCTGTTGTTAACCCTTTTTTTAATATAGTTCCGTTGCTGATACTTCAGAGTATGTAAATTTTCTAATGTTGTTTTGTTGTAAACCCAATGATAATTGTAATGTATATATTCTTACTTAAAAATAAAAGGGGGGGGAGTTGAAGGGGTAACTTCCATTGCAGATAAGAACAAATGTTACTAGTCCTCAAAGCCAAGACTTTGTCCAAATAAATTTAAGTGAACCATTTGTGTTAGTCAGTTATGGCCTGAACAAACAAAGAAAGGATTGTCTTGCCATTTATAAAGGCTTCCCTGTCTACTGGAGTTGGGGGTGGGTTCTGCAGGCCAGTCAGTGGTACAGCATCTGCTCTGCATGAAAAGTCCCAAGTTCAATTCCCAGTATCTACATATAAGAAGATCATATAGAAGATGGCATGAAAGTGCTGCACCTGAGACCCTGGAGAGCTGCTGCAAATAAGAGAAGCCAGTACTGACCCTGACAGACCAAGTCTGACTCAGTATGAAGCCGCTTCATGTGTTCATATGTTAGACAATTCTTACTTGCTACAAGTAACTGGTGCAGCTGCAATCAGCAATCAGCAAGAAGGTAAATGACAGAGAGGGGTGAGGAAGTTTCCTTCAGTAGTAGCCAAGTTAGTTAGTTCAGTCCTTAGTGATAGGAAGGATAGTGCTTTATGATTCACTATGGCTTGGAATACAGCAATACATGTGCGGTTCCTAGTTGCAGAGCCTCTGTAGTATTCATGTCTTGCACATGATTATGAACTGTGTCAACACAAGCCCTCAAGGAGAAACAAGAGAGCAACTCAGTTCAGTGAGGACGTCATTCCTAGCAATACACACACAAGTCTCCAAACCCGCTGTTGCTGAATTCTGCGGCCACAAACACAATGGAAATCTACGGTTATACTCACACTGTACATTGAGCTGAACCAGGGCTTCTCGGGGTCTAATGTTGAAGCCGTTGTATCTGGCTGTCTGGCATTTGTAAGTTCCAGTCATTTCTCGAGTCACACTCTCCAAATTCAGTTTCCCATCACTGGTCTCCATTGTCATTGCACCTGAAGGCATGGGAACTTCCTTATCTACTCGGGACCAGATAATGGGAGGCTTGGGCTTTCCTCGGACTTCGCACGGCAACTCTGCCCTGGAGCCTTCGCGCACAGTAATGGTGGACTGGCCCTTGGGCACCATGATGGTTGGAGGCACTAAAAGGAGAAGAGGAGACGAGAGGACCATTCTTGGGCTGCACTCTTACCTTGAAAGAGCAGCCTTGGAGAGATGGTTGGCAAAGTGCACCGCAATAGGGGAAGGCAGTCCTGGAGATGGAAGCTGTACAGTCAGGATTGGGTATATTTTGTGCTAAAAAAAATCAAAACTCTCTTCAAGGGTCAAGAAATTATGAGACAAAAGAAGGTGAATTCTGTGATCAGAATAAATTATGCATGTAAAGCAAATGTACAGGACATTGCCTTGTTTTGTAGAATTTATTCAATTTCAGCAAGTTGTGTGTGTGTGTGGGGGGGAGTTTTCTCATTCAACCAGGGCAAGTCCTACTCAGCCTCCCTATAGTTTCTGAGTTTTTTTCTAAGCACTGTCCATCAGTTTACAAGTGTGCTTTGGAAGCCATAAAGGGTAGAAGCGTTCTTATTTTAAGAATGAAAGTGGATCCAGTAGCAAAATGTACCCTGGTGCCACACTATTTTGCCTTCAAGTAAATTAGAATGACTATTTCAAAGCCATAAAATTGTGACAGGCTACACCCATTAACCAACACCCCTTGTCCTCCTGGGTGATGCTTTTCATGATTTTCAGTAGGCATAAAAGCAAATATTAACCAGATTGCTCCTGGCCCATGCAGATTGACATTACTGAGAGTGGAAACATTGGATCCACAGATTCCCCTGGATGTAGGTGCACTGAAAATGAGCTTGCTTTTGTTCACTGAGTTAAGAAGAGCCCTGCTGTTTCAGACCAATGGTCCATCTAGTCCAGGACTGTATCTCCTATAGTTGCCAGTCAGACACTCCAGAAGGCCGATGGCCAAGATATTAAGGATGAAGCCTTCCCTCTGCAGTCATTCCCTTTCAACTGGCATTCAGAAGTATACCACCTCTGAACAGGGAGGTTCCATATAGCCCTCATGATGGGATGTGACAGGATGGCTCCTGCTCTTCTACGTGTTCTTTGGAGAAAGTTGTCACTCTTTGCATACTTTCCCCAAAAGGGATGCTCTGACATACAGAAGGGTTCCTTGTTATTCTTCTGTGTGTATGTGTGTGTTAAATGCTGTCACGTCGCTTCCGACATATGGCAACCATATGAATTAATGACCAGGTTATGGTTCTGACCTAATTTTGACCTTTCCTGCCCAATCATGGCTCACACTATCCCATGCATGTAAGGGGAGCGAGGGAGAATGTGATGATTAAACGCATAAAAGAATACATTGCTTCCTTAAGAGGGATATTTAGGCTGGTCCTAGCTGCTGGCATCTCTGCTGGCTACTACCTCACTAGGCAATGAGGAGATGAATTTTCAATTTACAGGTCTCCTGTGGGCTGTGGAATCTCATCAGATCCTCCCCTCCATGGTGTGAAGACAGAGCTGCACCCTCACTGCTCAGCACTGCCAGCAGACGCTTACCTGGCAAGAGACAATTTTCTCCATGGGAAGAATGTGTAAATTGCATTGGAGGATTTTTTAATTAAAGCCATCTCTCCAGCACCTCCCACTGTGCACAGTCATCTTGAAGAGCTGCTGTCTTGCTTGCTGGATGGGAGCAGAGAGCCCAGGAAAGCAAAGCTATTTCCATCTTGCTAGCTTTGCCCCACGGCCCAGCCCACTGACCGTCCGGGGGAAGACCCACAGTTCAAACTCCAGATGGTTCTTAGAAGCACTTAAGGAAGAGTTTAAGGTGGTGTTCAGCCAACTGTCTGCCTCTGAATTTCTCTGTGGGAATGGCGACCAAAGGACTGCCTTCACTTGGAAATCCTGTTTTAGGAGTCCAGCCAATGATGAATGAACTATTAAAAACTGGACTATTATGGCCCTCATGCTACTGGTATTCAGAACAACTTTGGACACTACATCAGACCACCTTACAGCAATGGCCATCTGCACTTAACTGCAGTTTATGTATATAATTTGTTATATGAAATTTTATAATATTGCACTTATGTATCTGCGTTTTATTGTATTTTAACCTGTTGTACGCTGCCCTGAGCCTGCCTGTGCAGGCAAAGCAGGATATAAATCGAAAGTCATAAATAAATAAATAAATAAATAAATAGGCCAGCCTCTGTTATGGTCACAAAATCAGCAAAACTGGGCAACCCACAGACAAGGCAGGGGTTTCTAAAAATATATGCCATTGCAAATTAACCAAAAGATCTGTTCCTCTGCCCCCCAAATACCAACCTGATGAGACCTAGAATGCTGGGAACAGTAAAGAGTCAGTTAAGCCAAAAGGGAGGGATAATTAATTTGCTCAAGCCCCTGAAAGCTTATAGAATCAAGGAGCAGTGCTTGAGAGAGAGAGAGAGAGAGAGAGAGAGAGAGAGAGAGAGAGAGAGCGAGAGTGTGTGTGTGTGTGTGTTGGGAGCAGAAGGAAATTTCCAGTGTGTCTGTCCCCTCCCTTCCATTATTCCTTTCAGGCCCCAGTTTATAATGCACATGTGAGACTAGATATAAATGTTAATATATTATTCCAGCTAATGTACCAATCTGATCAATAAAGAGATTTATTACTTAGACTGCATTTCTGAAATTCCTTCCAAAAAACTGGCTGAGAGGGATGCATTTGTTTTGCTTACGTGTTGCCTCATTGTTCAAGAAGTCTTGAAGGGGAGGCTCACCTGTTTCTGAAGAAATGTTCACCTCTACACTGAGGTCAGGGATGGGTGCCCCTTGGAAGGAGGCTACGCACAGGTATGTGCCATAGTCAGTGAAGCGGAGGTCAATTATCTCCAGACTACTGGTCACCGGCAGGAGTTCAGGGTCATTCCGGATGATCACGAGTCGGTCTGAGAGCTTGACCAACTTCCCATTCTTGTACCAGAAGTAGAAAACCTTTTCTTGTGGGACAGCATCCACATGACATGAGAGCTTCAGGTCCTGACCTAACTGGATGGTCTCGCTCTCTTTGATCACGTCAGGAGTGATTTGGAATGTCGCGTTCCTCATGGCTGGAAGAGATAGACATGCCAAGCCAGTTAATGCAAACACATAAAGTAATGATGCTTTGTATCCTCTAGCAAAAAGGAGCATTGTGAAAGCAAGCTGCCTTGACATGGATGAATGTCAGGAGATAGGATAAGAACAACAAAGGGAGAAGAGATGCAGCAATGACTTAAGGAACCCGGTCAAAGCTATGTGTTGGCTATCCAGCCTGGAATGGCATGTGTGCATTTTGGGGAAGAAGACTGAGGGTCAGGTACAAGGGAATAAGCAGTGGTAAGCAAGAAGTAAAACGGCAAGTGTGGGCAACAGCACCTCTCCCCCCATGCTATTAGTATTATACTTATTCCAAACTTAAAATAAACAATAAAAGTACACTGGGAATCCAGACTTTATCCCCAAGTGGGTCCACTCAAAGACGTACATCGCACCAGCACGTTCACCATCTTCTTGGCTGGATTCCCCACATTGTTGATAGCTGTGCAGTTGTAGTACCCTGAATCTTCCACACGGATGCCCCAGATGGTGAGTTTGCCCTTTTGAACAATGCTGTTGTGAGGCATGGGGCTGGGTGAATGGGACCAAATCACCTGGGGCAGTGGGTCCCCACCAGTCAGTGAGCACTGTATGGTGACATTGTCCCCAGGATTCACCACTAAGGTCTCATTCACAGACAACTTTAGGGCTGGTGGAGCTAGACAAGAGAAGAAGAAGAAAAGGATAAAGATCAGTTACTGAGATGAACAGTTTAGTTTCGGTTGGGTATCCATGTTGGTTGGAAGCAGCAGAGCAAAGTTTGGGTTCTCTACATGGGGCAAATAGGTCAAATCCTATGCCAAGAATCACAAGACTGAGAAACCTGTAGGAGCAAACTTCAACCCTCCGGGACATTCAACGGATGACCTCAAAGTAGCGGTTTTATTGCAAAGGAACTTCAGGAACAGATTAGAATGGGAAATTGCTGAGTTGCAACTTGCAAGTTATTACAACACTCAGAACAATGGAATCCCTAGGACTTAACAGGGATATTTGTTTCTTACCTCACTACATATGCTAACCTCATTCAGCCATAACATCTGTATTCTCACCAATCCCCCAGAAGAGACATACATCCTCGTTATTTTATTTCTTATTTGGAATAATAGATTAGAACAGAAGATTGTAATGTAATGTAATAAATAGTAGAATATAATGTAATTTGGAATGGTAGATTGGAATGTAATTCTCTGGTCTGGGGACAGGGGAGATAACACTACACAGCCAATCGCCCCACTTCAAAGAAGAAGATGCTGTAAGGTCACCTCCATGCTTGAGAGGAGATGGATGGGGCATAGTGGCAGGGTCTCAGTTAATTACTCTCAGAATTCCACAATTAAGGATACATCTATCTCCAAGTTTGACATATTTATTTCCTTCCCTATCTCCCCCCCCCCCAGGAATTTAACCCAAACAAATGGTAACTATATAAACTAAGCTTGTTATTCCTGTTTGGTCCTTGAATCTGTTAAACATCTTCATTATGCGGTATGCTAATTTACTGCTCACCCCCCCTCTACCTATACGTATGGACTGGTAATTTCCATTTCATTGTACCTGAAGAAGCGTACATGCACATGAATGCTTACTCTTTGAATAAAACTTTGTTGGTCTTAAAGGTGCCACTGGACTCAAACTTAGGTCAGTTTAGTGTTCTATATGTAAATAAGAATATTTGTTTTGCTTTAGAATTTAAAGCAAATGGTTAGAATATGGTTATGGCAGTTTGCTACTGAGAGCACAGTTCACTTGTGGATTAAAATTAGAGGTACATTTCACTGTTACATTTAAAAGTGTGCACGTATATTTTCTCAGTGAGCTTCTAGAATAATAGCCCACTATATGTTGTTTCGTGGAATTAAAGCTTCCCTTTTTCCTAGTTAGAGATGGGACTGTGCTTTTCGGTAATGGTCATGCTTTGGGAATTGCCCCAGGTAAGGGCATGTTGGACCTGGCAGCTGACCCCTGATTTACCACTGGATGTTCTTCTCTGGAGATGCTTCCAGACTCAGGACCAGACCCTCCACTGTCACCGTGGGAGATGCAGTTCCCAGTGGCCCCACCCCCACCAACAGAAAGCTTGGCAGCTTCCCGGGTCATAACACAGGGTCCTTATCTGGCACTACAACTCCAGATACTGGTGGAAGAGCCAGCTGGGGCCCAACACTGGAGCAGCCCAAAGACTGCAGCCTCCACTGCCTCAGAAGAAGCCAGGGTGGGGCCAAAGCAGCCTGCACAAAGGCAAGTAAGCCCAACAGCAGCCCAGGCCCAGAGGCTGGGAGGGCCAGGTAAAAGCAGAGGCAGGGACTGAGTGCTGGCAGCCTATCCTACCCAAACCCTGAGAAAACCAATAGAGCAAGAGGGAGAGCACCTGGGGGGGGGGGAGGATCTATTCAGAAACCCAGTAGGAGGTACAGTGGAGGAGCACATCAGTGCCCTCTCTCAGAGAAAGGCCAGGGAAAGGGTGGGGCTATTTGGACCTTTGAAGGGCAGGTTCCTGGCAAAGGCCAAGGAGGAGAGGAGGACATAGTTCAGATGCAGCAAGATACAATGCCATGGAGTCCACCCTCCAAAGCAGCCATTTTCTCCAGGGGAAGTGATTTCTGTAGTCTGGAGATCAGTTGTGATGCCAGGAGATGTCCAGACCTCACCTGAAGGCTGGCAATCCCATTAGCCGTCGTTCTTGCCAGTTCTCCTGGGCTTCAGGCAAGCTACGTGTCCCATACTAACCCACCTGTCTGGAACTGCCAGCATCAGCTCCTCTAGCAAACAAAATGCTTCATGTGCACAGAAAATAGCCTTCATAGTGGGGTTGCCAACTCCTCCGATGGGGGTGGGTTTTTTTTCCTGATTTTGGGGGCCCCAATGACCCCCACCCCCGAACAGCCTGATCACACCCAACATGCCTGGTGTAATGACGTTACCCAGAGATGACATCATCACGCCAGGCACATCACGCGGGGGATGCTCTAGCATTAGGCTCAAAACTCTACGGTAGAGTTTTTAGTTGAATGCTAGAGTGTCCCCTGAAGACCCCGGGAACAAGCCAGGAGCCCCCCACTGATAGACTGGTAAGTCCTGGCAACCCTACTTCATAATGACATTTTAGGAACTTCCCCATGTCTCTATGATTTTTACCACAGAGATTGGGGGAAATTCCTAGACAAGCATCACCTGGAAATGACATCATCTATTTCCCAAACTCCACCTTCACCAGCCACTCAAAATTCCTCAGCATTTGCTGATAAAGTGCTGGCAACCCTACTTGCTCTCGACCTCTCTAATCTGTTACACATTTGGGAGACAGGGTGGGGGAGAAGGGGGAGAAAATGATCTGCTACTTTTTGTGGCTACAGGATAATCTGTTAACTTTCCCCAGCCAGCAGAGGTGGCAGCGGCTGCAGTTAGGTGGGCATGCTTCTGACAAGCGGCCCACCTGAATCATGATGGTGGGGGGGAGACCAGCTTTAGGTTCACTGGTATACACATCTGTTATTTTGCTTGTGTAGTTGGGTTGAAGCCACTGTGAACCCTCTCTTCATACTAAGTCTCTCTTCACTAGATGGAGTGTCCTCCTGATAAGCAGAATCTTCTCTCTATGACTAGTTTTAGCAAGGGGTTCTGGCATTGCCTCTGCTTTTCTCCTCTTCTGCAGGTGAAGAAGAGGTAGACAATAGCAGCTGACTGCTACTGAAAGAGCAATATAAATGTGTAGTGTTGCAGTGCTGAAGATACTGCTACCATTGTTTGATAATGGAGATGCAAACACACCCGACCTTTCGTATATAATAGTGACCAAAATTGATGGGAAAGTTGCATCGGTAGTTTATATTCGTCTCTTGGATGTTTTTCTGTCCTTCAGGACAGTGTACATGGTTCTCCCTTCTCTGTCTTACTTTCACAACTGCTCTGCAGGGTAGGTTAGGCTGAGAGAGAGAGCGACCGGCCAAGGTTACCCAGTGAACAATGCCTGAGTAGGGATTTGAACCTGGGTTCTCAGGTCCTAGTCAGACACTCTAATCACACTGGAATCTCCTCTGATCACACCAGTTAGTCTGTTCATAATCACCATGATGAGAATGGTCCTCTGGAACACTGCTGAAACATGGATGTAGCCCCAAATTCCCACACACGACTTCATTTCCCAAAGCAGGCTCATGGTGTCAAAAAGTTGTTTCCTTGCAGGATTACTTCCCATTACTCCATCCTCCAGCAAGGAAAGATTAGAACTTCACAGTGTGTCCTTTCCACCCCCACCAGCAATTGGTGCGAACCATTCAGGCCCATTTCCTTGCTCTGTGTACATATCAATTGCCCAGATTGAGCCACGAATCCTTGAGTTTCCCTCTTGAAGCAAGGAGTCCTCATTATGAATGGGCAGCTCCCCCACTTTAAAATGCTTAACCTCAACCCTTCTGATTAATTCCTCCTCTCCCACATCCCCAGAGGCGGCTCCAAAAGACTCTTCTCTGTTTAATCTCTCAAAGGTCCTTTAAAGCCCCTTGTCAGCCCCACCAGAGGCTCCGAACAAAGCTCAGAGAGCAGCCATGGCACAAAGGCTGAGCGCACGTTTTAAGTAACAGCCGTAATAATGCAAAATAAGGTGTTGTTACATATTCATAAAGCTTGATTTAATGGCATCGTTATTTCTGCCTTCTCCTCTCCTTGGACCCCTGTTAATGAGCTGTGCTGGTTTTGCCTTGAATCTCTAAGTTACAGCTCAAGCAAACACAACTGGGAGGATTGCTCTCTCCTTCCAGGAGAAGTGCAAAGTTTTAGCAGTATGCATATTTCACAGTTGTGCCGGAGTTTTTGGAACACGAAGCGTGTCTAACTCAATATGGCTCTTCCAACAATGAGCTCTCTCCATGTACTGGCCCGCAATGATTTGTTCGTTTAAGAGATTTATACCCTGCTTCTTCTCCCTCAATAGGCCCCCATCGTGGCTTGCAGCATTGTGCTCCCTTCCTCCATTGTATACTCATAACAACAGTCCTATAAGACAGATCAGGCTGAGAGAAAGAGACTGGCCAAGATTACCCAGCAAGCTTGGGTTTCCTGGATCCTAGTCGGACGCTCTTAACCACTACCCCACATTGTTGCTCAGCTGTACGGCACTTGTTCCAGTTCTTTCCAATGACTCAGTAGGCAGGTGAGCCGAGTCCTTCTTGTCCTCAAGGCACACAGTTGGCAGCCTCCAGGTGGGGCCTGGAATTAGAATTCACCTGGAACCATAAGCAGGGCTTCCTGCCATCCTGTGAGGTAGGTGAGGCTGAGGGAGAATGGCTGTTCCAAGGTCATCCACCAAGCTTCCATGGCAGAATGGGGATTTGAACCTGGGTCTTTCCATCTGCAGACTAACATTATAATACACCTGGGCCAAGGGGGATGCTTCTGCTTGTCACTGACTTCCTGGTTCCCTGCTCTCACACCTTCATTAAAATAACTCTTTCTCACATTTGGGCAACAGGGCCGGACCAATACGAAACAAAATGCTGCAATATGGAAGCCATCAGCTCAGAATGTATTTCCCCCCCTTGACTTATGAGGGCTCGCTCTGAAATAAAGTCTATGAAGCCCTGGTTTAGACAAGAATTCAAAACTATTCTTTTTATTTTATGTCAGCTTCTCAGCCTTAATAGCTAAAATCCTGCTGAGCAACAACATTTTATTTTATTTTGCTCAGTAATGTCAGAAAATGTGACCTGATGGGGCTGGAGCTACCTTGGGGCAGCTTGTTTATAGGTATGACTGGGAGGAAAGGAACCTGTAAAAGTGCCACCTGCATCTTGTAAAAGTGCCAGCGGCACCTCTCTAGGCAACTGAGCTGTGGCTACATAGGCAGCAGGAGAGCCAAGCGCAGCTTTGGGGGGCCCTCACTCCCACTCCCATCCCCCCCACCTTTGCCAGAGGATGGCAGCTAGCAATATGCAGCCATTGTTATGCAGGAGATGAATCTCATTTATTTGTAACCTGTGGCGATTCCTTTTGTTCTCGGCTCAGAAAACTTGCTGGCGAAGTCAGGCTGTGGAAGGGTTTGTACGTGTGTGTGTGTGTGTGTGTGTGTATGGGGGGGTGCCAATAAAAACAAAGAGTCGCTTTCAATTCCCTTTGATGTCCAATTTGCTGCAGTAAAACTGCAGGAGAATTTGCTAGCTGCGCTGCTTAACTTCTCGGAAAGCAAGGGAGAAAATAGCACGCCTGGTGCTGTGCTGTACACAGTCTGCTGTATCGGCAACAACCCTGTGGCTGACCTTCTGCACCTCATAATTATACAGTCATTAATAATAGAAGCCTAAGAAACACAGGATGCATATACAGAAAGGACTTAACAGCGGTCAGTTACCCCCTTCAATGGATACTTGGTTGCATTCACAAGCAAGGTAGTTAGAAAGTGGGGAAAGCTGATCTGGTTTCTCAACGAAAAGGTTATGGTGGGGAGGGGGTTGACATGATTTTGATGGTGTTAGTGGCTATAAGCAGAAAATGAGGGAATGACAGTTCTTCTGGATAGATTTAAGTGAGCTAAGGAGGTGCCAGTTGGAGCGCACACCCTCTTAGCATTGGAAAGGATCCTGGACTGCCATCCAGCACCATATCCCAAAGCAGCATATCCTATGCTTACAACATTTGGAGGTGTTCTTATACTGAGTCAGGTCACTGGTCTCTGCCTATCATCTACACTGAGCGGCAGCAGCTCCCCAGCACAGGAGAATGTAGAATATCACCGTCTGTACCTCTGCATTTCATGGACCCCATTTCCTCTTGGGTGTGCGCGCGGTCAGCTCACTGAGATATTCAGTTCGTGCATCTGATGAAGAAGACTCTAGCCCACAAAAGTATATTATGCCCCAATAAATCTGTTAGTCTTGAAGGTGCCACAAGACTCTTTTTTTATTATGTGTTATATAAATAATCCCTACAACAATGCTGTAAAGGTATGTCAACGTTATTTGCCCTATTAAAATGGAGGGGTGTCAGGTAAATGAGATGGAGGTCACAGCTTCCGTCGCACCTTTCAAAGGAAAATGTCAAGCATGTGCAGCCTCAATCAGTCTGGGGCCGTTTGAAAAGAGGAGAGAGGGTTTAATCACCCCTATACAGATTTACCTACTAGGATCTCCCACTGGGGCAGTCTGTCCATTAAGCAGACTGAGGTGATCGATAGGCCCTCTGGCCCCAGTGGGCTGCCTGCTCCTTCCCTCAGCTACAGGGGAGGTCCTGCTTCCTCCTTCCCTCTCCTGGCTCCCTGCAGTGTCGGGAGGGGGCAGGGAGGGCATGCGGTAGCCTCCCACCTCCCCACAGTGTGGTGCTGGGTGAGGAGGCTGGGCAAACTCCCACTTTCCCACAGTATGCAGAGGAAAAGTGAGGACAGCAGGCAGTGGCTTCCCTCCAGTGCGGGGGATAGGGTTCCCAACTTTGGTCCTGGGGGGGGATTGGGGGGTGGACCCTGGGGGGTGGAGAGAGGTGAGACCTCAGCAGGTATAATGCCATAGAGTTCACTCACCAAAGCAGCCATATTCTCCAGGGGGACCGATCTCTGTAGTCTGGAGATCAGACGTAATTCCAGGAGAACTCCAGGTTCTTCCTGGAGGTTGGCAGGCCTCCCAGGGGTGGCTTCCCCACCCTAGCTGAGATGCTTAAATCCTCAAGACAGTCGGGCAACCTGTCCAAATAGCCCTTGATGGGGAAAAATTAGGCACCTATTTTTTTCTTCCAACGGTAATAGGAGTGTAGTGCTAGTGCGTGTGTTGGGGGGGTGTCTGACAGTACCCAGTTTAACTCAGGCAATGCACCCCTGAAATACATTTTTAAAATACACTAGGAAGATCTGATTATAGATCTCCAAGTCCCACCATCAAGTGCACAACTCAGCTATTCTTTTAACTCTAAAGACTTGCACTCTAAACCCTCCTCCCCAGTTCCTACAGCTGTTTTCTAAATCCTTTCCAATGTGTTAACATTCTTCTTGGCAAGCTCTCAAAATTGCACCTGGCGCATGCAATCGTACTATTGCTCACTAGAGAGGCAATGCTCCTTCCTATGTCCCAGATCAGACGCTTTTTAAAAATGCCCTTCCATTTGCCTTTTTCAACTCTCATACTACACCACCACCTTGTTAACTTGTGTTCTGTTTGTTATCTCCAAAAGTCTTCTAACTTATGCTGCTACCAAGCCATTTATTCCCCAAAGGACATAGCTCATGGGCAGAGCGCATGCACTGCATCTATAAAGCCAGGGCTTCAATCCTGCCTATCCTAAGGACAATTTCCTTTTGAATGGGGAGAAATTCAGTGAGGTCCTAATGGGTTCAGCATTAGCTTGAGGAAAAACAGTATATTTTGTGAGCTCTGGTTGTTATTCCTTTCTTTTTTAGACTTCACAAGATTCCAGTGATCATGTGACCAAAAAGGCAGCCTTTTTCCCCCTTTGCAAGTAAAAAGAATTTGTACCCGGGGCTTGGTTACCTAGTACATAGGCCCATGAGTACAGTTTAGAACACTAATCATTTAGTACCAAAAATGCACCTCAGGAATACTCACATGTAGTGTGAAACACAGGGAAGGTACTGTTTTCCCCCTTTCCCTGTCTTCCTGTCAGTCATTAAATGAATGATGTGAAGAACTGGAAAAAGACCTTTCTTTGACTGACTCAAACCAGACATAGGCCCCGGTCACACGGGCCGGATAACGCGGGGGGGGGGGAGGCGGGGCTTTTTGCACCACCGCAATTAGAGCTGCCATAATGCGATCCCACGCATCGGCGGCATGCCACGGTTCCTTCCCTCCACACCTGCTCATCAATGAGGGGCCGGAGGGAAAAGCCGCGGCCGGTGCGATCACACCGAGGGACTCCAGAGGCAGCCTGTGGCAAACAGGTTGCTAGTACCTTCGAGCAGGTCGTTTTTAATCGTACATTTTCAGCGGTACGCCACGGGTGTGCTCCACCTCCCAGATGTTGAGGTGTGATTGCGCCTGGATAATCCGCCATGCAATCGTCGCTCTCCCATGGCAAATCCTCCGTACAAACAGGGCCATAGTTGTTTAAACCCATTTAGACCAAACTAGAGGCTGGAACAAACAACAGCCACATGTATTCACTGAATGGGACTGTGTATGAGAATGCTGATCCCCCTCCCACCTATGTGTCAGCAAGGGCGACCATGTGGAGGAAGTGGCCACACAAACTCTCCCTCCCCATGATCAGCAACACTCAGAAAGTAGGAAGGGCTGTACCCACAGCAAAGTCATACCCTGCCGTCGACCAGGTGACCGTGTGGAGGCAGGTGGTGGGGCCATCATACTTGCACCTGATCTCCTTCCTTGAATGTTCAGTGAACATGTGGGGCTGTCATCTGTACCAGGCTCCAGTCTGGCACAATCATGTATCAGGTGGTGGTGGTGTGTGTGAGTGGGTAAGGTTAGATTTTACAATAAAAAGGAGTGCCTTGGGGCACAAAACCCTCCCCTTACAACCTGGTCCGGGTGGCCTTTCCGCTGCCAGCCATCTGGCCGGCGGGGGGGACGACCCACCTGCAAATGGCCCCCAACGTGACATAATGATATCACCTGGAAGTGACGTCATCATGTTGCTGACACTGGGGGCAACACTCTAGTTTTTGGGCAAAACTCTATGGTAAAATTGGGCTCAAATGGACCCAGGAGCCCCCCACTAGAAGCCAGGTAGGACCTGACAACCCTATTGCAACTTCTCTCCCAAGGTCTTCTCCCAGCCAGGTACATTTCTGGTACTGAAGCCCAACTGAGGGGAAAGTAGTCTTAGGAGACCCTCCAGCAGGAAAGTTCTCTGGAAACTAGGGCAGGATCTAGCAGCCTCCTCACTCCAGTATGCCCCTTTTGTTCTTAAGGTTGGATGCTTCCACCTCTCTGGAAGGAGCTGTACCTCTGTAGCAGAGCATGTGTTTTATCTATGACATTCCTTGCTTCAATCCCTGGCATCTTGAGTTAAAGGAATTCATCCAGTGGTCTCAGCCCGAGATCCTGGAGCTCTGCTGACAATTGGAGTAGACAACACTGAGCTAGACAAAGCAATGGCCTGACTTTGGAACCCGTTTCTTGGATCCTCATCTCTCATTATACTTGTGGCAGGTGCTTCTGCTAGCAGAAGAGGGGGTGGATGATTGTTACTGATTCCCCCGCCCCCATGACAGTCCTCCACCTCAATCCCCAAAATGTTCTTGGGGTTCCACTGATGCACAGGGGCACAATTTTGGGGGGCATAAAAGGCTGCAGAGGGAGACAGGAAAGTTGGTGTTTAGGCAGCACAGCTCTGTTTGTGCTGCATAGGATCCCAGCACGTATGGTGCAATGGTTAGAGTTTTGGGTTAGACCTGAAGAATGCAGGATTTAAATCCCCACTCTGCCATGAAGTTCACTGGTTGCCTTGATCCGGTCACTCCCTGAGCCTGATAGCTTTGTTTTGAGGATAAAATAGAAGAGAACCATGGACCCCTTGGAGGATAGACAGGCTCAAAATAGAATATCTACATCTATCTATAAGGCAGATTCATCCATTCATATGTATTGTAGGTGACTGAAACAGAGCCTGGTTTAAACAATCAGACCTGCCACTGTCACATATAGTGACACTCTGGAGGCATGCTGACAGAAGAAAAAGGTCTGACTCAGTATAAGGCAGCACAGATTTTAAACTCAGTTTACGCAAGGGCACTCCCAACATAACATTTTGAGCTCAAAATTCACTTTTTGTGGCAATCCTCTGATGTGATGCTGGAATTAGTCATTTACTAGTTGCTTCCTTTTATAGGGGTATCAATAAACAGGTCTCACTAAGGGTCCATGGCTGTGCACATACCTCCCTCTTGCCCAAAAATCCCCATACAGAATTCTTAATAGGGCCTTCCTTGCTGATCATAGTGGGTGGCAACCACATGGTGAGAGGCATTTCCTAATGACATTACCTATTGGAATTCCCTGACTT